CCAGGCGCCAGTCCTGCTCCCTCAGGCCCCCCGTACGGACGCAGTTCGTGGGGAGACGGGAGACGGCGCCTCTGAGCCGAGGCTGGGAGTGGGGCAGGCGGGTCCCAGTGGCCCCGTAACTGCAGGTGGCGAGCGCCGTCAGCCTCGGCCCCGGGGGCCCGTGCGTGCCGGCTGTCCTGTCAGACCTGGGGGCCCCAGAGGGCTCCCGGCACCTGCGCTGGCCGTGGGGCTTCGCAGCTGCTCACGCTCGCCATTCGCACCGGGGCTGTTCCGGGCGAGGGGGCCGCCCCGGCCCGCCCCTTCCGGCTCCTTCCGGGGCCTGGGCTGGACGCGGCTGCGGTGAGGACGGGCTGCGTGGTGTGTCCAGGCCGGCCGGCCTGGCCGGTCGTGCGTGTGCAGAGCTGGTCGGGTTGCTGCTCGTGACACTGGACCCGGGGGGCCAGTGCCTGCCCCCCTCGCTCGCTGGGTCTCCACGCGCCGGGCCTGGGTGCTTCCTCGGGCTCTGCTGTCTGGGTGCGCCTCAGACGGGGAGGGCCTGGGTGGGCTGCGGCCGGCGAGTGTGCCGTGCGCCGTGCCGTCTGCTGCCCCCACAGTGCCCGGCAGGACTCGTGGGCAGGGGCATGGCCTCCCGGGCCGAGGCTCCCCTGCTGAGGGGGGTGGGGCGCCGCCTCCCTGCTTCCTCGCCCCATCTGCCGGCCCAGGACCGGGACCCCGGTTTGGGTGGGCTGCGGGGCTCGGCGGGGCACGCAGCAGGTCTCCCCGAGGCGAGGCGCACTTCGGGGTGCTAGATGCGGCAGAGTGTGCCACAGTGGCCAGGGGGACGCCGGCGGCCACGCCCAGCGGGCTCTCGCTGACAGGGTCCGTCCACGCTGGGCAGGAGTCGGCCGTGGGCAGGCGTGGCAGGCTGCCGGTGCGCCTTCCCACGAGCACGCGTGGCCCGAGTGTCTGGAACAGGCGTCACGGAGATGACGGGGTCACCTGCGTGGGGTGCGGGAGTCGCCCTGAGCTGATGGTGGGCAGCGGGGCTGCGTAGCCCCCACACTGGGAGCCGGCGCCCCGGGAAAGGCCTGTTGGAGGAGAGCGCGGTGGCCTGGTGCTGGTTTCGGCCCCCGGGGACGGCCCGTCCAGGTCTGAGTACCGCAGCACGCAGGCCAGGGTGTCTGGGCAGCGCAGGGGCCGGGGCCCGGAGCCAGGTGGCCGGGCAGGTGGCTGGCAGCGCGGGCCTCTGTGAGGGGCTTGGCGGAGACCCCCGCCCCGACCCAGCTAGGAGGGGCACGGTGGCTGCCAATCCCTGTCCAGCTTCCAGAGTGGGGGACACCAGGCTGCTGGACCCCAAACCCCACCGCCTTGCTCCCCAGAGGGCACAAGCTCTGGGTTCGCGCCCCTCCGAGTCTTGCCCGCATTTAGCTTGCCGGGCGCCAGGGCCGCTGAGCCTGCCCCGCGGGTCCTCCGGGCCCTGCCCGGGCTTGGGGACTGGTGTGGGGGGCTGCGGGCCCCCTGGGCTTGCTGGTGTCCCTGGAGTGCGGCTGTGGGCCGGGCGCTGGTCACCCCCCACTTCCTGCCCGATGTCCCTCCACTGACTGGTCAAGGTGGCCGCGGCTCAGCAGTCCCTGGGGCCACCCCAGTGCTGGGTCTGCACAAGACCTGCTCCCCTCCCCCCGAGCCCCAGAAACCAGCATTTCCTGTGGCTGTGGAGCCCACAGCTGGGGTGTGGCCCAGCGCCCGTCTAGAGAACCAGGGCCACCCCTTCGGCAGAGGGCATCGCAAGGGCTCACTACCCACCTAGGCTGGACACCGGCCAGGAGGGGCTGCCGTGGTCTCTTTCTGGGGGTCAGTGGGCACGGCTGGCTTTACCCTGGACAGTCTGCGTGTGGACCACACGTCTAGGGGCTCGGACAGAAAGGGCCTCGCTTGGGGCGCAGCTGTCCCAGCCTTGGGGGGACCTGCGTCTGTGGTGCCCCCTCACACAGTGACACGGTGGGGTCGGCGCCTCCCAGGGCCCCCTTGCACCGGAATGCGGGGACAGGCGGGCCCCGGGAAGCGGGCGCAGGGGTCGGCGGCTCCTGCTGTCCTGCCCCGGGCTCCGCTTGGGCAACAGGTGCGCCCCAGGTGGGCTTTGGCGGGCACCTGCCCGGGCACCCCTCCTCAGGGCTGCCGCTGGCGCCTTGCATCCTGGGGTGGCAGAGGGCCGGGCCCCCACCCGCAGGCCTGCACAGGCCCTCGGCTGACCCTGAGCGGCGCGCGCCGCCCCTGTGTGCCGCGGTCGCTGCAGACTGGGGTCGCGGGGAAGGCGTGGGGCACTGGGGCATGGCTGGGGTTCAGGGCCCTCTCCCTGGGCCTGCCCGCCTCCGCTGCCCTGGGGACGCGTGGCAGCGCTAAAGACCTGCAATAAGTGTCCAACAGACTTACAGAGCGGCAGGAGCCCCCCGCCCCGCCCAGTGACTCCCCTGCCCCAGGGCGTCTCTGGCCCCCACCAGGGCTTGGGGTGACACACGAGGGTCTCGCAGCCTCAAGTGCGCGCGGCGCCTGCCTGTGAGGTGCTCTGGCCGCAGCCGAGCGTCGGCCCGGCCCACTGACCTGCTCTTCTCCCGCAGGGTCTTCACTGAGCAGCGAGTCGTCCCCCGTGTCCTCCCCGGCCACCAACCACAGTTCCCCCGCCAGCACGCCCAAGCGCGTGCCCATGGGCCCCATCATCGTGCCCCCCGGGGGCCACAGTGTCCCCAGCACACCCCCCGTGGTCACCATCGCCCCGACCAAGACCGTCAATGGCGTCTGGAGGAGCGAGAGTCGGCAGGTGAGTCCCGGGTACGGGGACAGCGTTGGAGCCAGGGGTGGCCTCTGCGGGGGAGGACGGGGTTTCGGGGTTCAGATCTCACCATCCCCCTGTACCCGTGAGTTCTTGCCTGCGCCTGTCTCTGCGCAGATCCGCGGCCATGGCTGTCCTTAGGCCCAGCCGTCAGTCCCTGGCTGACCCTAGAGGCTGGAGCTGAGGTCGCCGGGGCCTCGCCCCTCGACTGGCCCCTCCGTACCCGGTCCGCATCCCTCCCAAGGGCCCCGTGGGGCAGAGCGGGCCTGGTGGCCCATGGCCTCACCCCCGAAAGGGTGCGGCCGGAGTACATCCTGAGGTCCTGGTGCCAGGGCTTCGACATGGGGTGGGCAGCTCACCTGTGACACAGGCCTGGCCACCCTGCGCTGAGGGCCCTGGCAGGGGGCACGGCGCCACGTCCAGGAGCAGATGCAGTGTTTGGCGATGCTGGTCATGCGCCAGGAGTGGGGGAGGAGGCTGGGCACCGCAGCTCTGCGCCCTCTGGGTGCGGGTGAGCATCAGGATCCCCGCTCGGTCTGGCTCTGTCTGTTCACTGCCCCTGAGCTGGGGGGCAGCCTCTGTCTGCGGGGTTCCCTGGGCCAGTCTTTCCCCCAGGGAGTCCCAGGGAGAGCCTGACAGCCTGGAGATGGCTGTGGGCAGGACCCACCTCCCTGTCCGAGGTGCCCACCCACTGGCTGAGGCCCACCGGGCCCCCAGAGCAGCCAGCAGCCTGGTGTCCCCCACTCTGGAAGCTGGACAGGGATTGGCAGCCACCGTGCCCCTCCTAGCTGGGGCGGGGGCGGGGGTCTCCGCCAAGCCCCTCACAGAGGCCCACGCTGCCAGCCACCTGCCCGGCCACCTGGCTCCGAAGGCCCCGCCTCCCCGAGGTAGCCCAGCCAGTGCCTGGCTCGCCCCGGATCGGCAGGGCGGGTGGTTCTGAGGGACTCCGCCTCCTTACCTGCGGGCTCCTCCCCTCAAAGGCCGAGTGACCCAGGGCGCCACCAGGCCACAGGGTTGCTGTAGACCGGGGAGGGCCGGGCGGGCGTGCCTGGCGGTTCCCAGGTGCTGGCGCCTCGAAGGGCCAGATGATGGAATCACATCTGGTGTGAAGCTCGCGGGGGGACGTGGGGGGCTGCCTGCGGACCCCTCTCTGCAGTCACCAGAGAAAGGAGGCGTCCCCTCCCTCCCTCCCTCCCTCCCTCCCAGAGATCAAAAGCTGCCCCGAGTGCACGCGTGTGTGGGTGCGAGCACACCAGGGGTGCCGGCGCTGTCGGGGTGCCGGCTGGGCCAGTGGGGCCGGCCCCTGTGGGGGCTGCTGCGCGGAGCAGCCCCGCGGGGCGTGTGGCCTGGCGCTGGCCCCTCGGACCAGCCGTGTGGCCTTGCCGGAAGGTGCCGTCTGGCCCAGCCGTCTTCAAGCTGGGCTGTGTCCCCATTGGGCGGAGAGGGGGCTCCTGGGGTGTCGCTGGGCCGGAGGTGTCGTGCTCAGGGGCCTGCCCACTGCGTCGGGCAGCAGGTCTCACGGGCTGCTGTCCTGGGCCGCAGGGGGCCCCCGGCTGCCGGGCTCAGCGCCAGGCCGCTCGGAGAGGGGAGCATGTCCCGGGAGGCCGTGGCCCAGGCTGGGAAGGGCCCCTGGGCCGCGGTGGCGCCCCGTGCGCGGGTCACATGGCAGCTGCACCCCGCCTCGCGCGGAAGTGTGCGGCTACAGCCCCCCCAGCTGGACAGTACACTCGGGACACTCGGCAGATGGGGAGACCGAGGCACAGCGCGCGGAGGGGCCGGGCCTGGGCCTTCCTTGCCAGGCAGGCGCCGGCCCGCGGCTCTGCCGCCCGGTCGCCTGGGCCAGGGCCGAAGCCCGCGGCAGCCAGAGTTCGTGACCCCACGAGGCCCCGGGGAGCAGAGGGTCACACGGGCACAGGGGAGAGCTGCCGCTCCTCAAAACTCCCGTCGCGGCCCGTCTGCTCCCTAATCACCGCTGGGGTCTCCTGGGGGTGCGGGCTTGCCTGACGCATGGGCCTCGCCGCGGCCTGCCCGTCAGCGTCTGCTGAGAGGACGGCGGGGGGCTCTGCACCCCCCCTCCTGACAGGAGCAGACAGGTCGGGAGAGGACCGGGGTGGGGGACCCGGCCTCACCCCTCGGCCTGTTGAGCAGGCGGGCTGCTCCCCCTTCATTTGGGGGTTTGGTGGCACAGTGGACACGCTGTAAAGTTAGGGTGGACAGACACGCTTGTGCCTTGGGGTGCCCCCATGAGGTGGCCGCAGCAGGCTCGGGG